TTATATATTATTATATATATATATATAAAATTATATTATTATAATATATTAATATAATTATATTTTTTATTTTATATAATAATTAAATATATAAAAAATAATTATTATATTAATATTATAAATAAATAAATAAATATATATATTTACTTACTACCGAAATTACTATCTTGCCAACCCAATACCTTATTTTTTGATAAAAAAAAATTCTATTCTCTCATTCAACTTATTTTAATTATTAAATCTGAAATGAATTTATAGTTTTAGTATTTAATTTATAATAATAATTTTTAATATTAATTAATAGTTATAGTAATATTTGAAATTATAATCGATTGTCATGATAAAAATATTCTATTATTTCATTCTACTTATTTTAATTGTTAATGTGAAATGAATTTATAGTTCAATATTTGAAATTACAATCAATTGTCATAATTATACCGATACATATTACATCCAATGAATAATATATAGATATATTAAATTCTATTATGTTAGCATATTAAGTTATTAATTTATCAGTCATATATAGAAGCTAATCCAAAATGAAATCCAACGACAAAATTAATACGCCAGATTATATATACAGGAATACTACCTGAATTGAGAATAAAGTTTAATCCAAAAAAAAAAAAAAAAGAAAAAAAGAAAAGAACCATTTAATTACGAGTTATCGATATTAATCTAACTATAATAACACGTATTGAAAGTAATACTTTATTCTACCTAGAAAAAAAAAAATAGAAAAAAAAAAAGAAAAACTAAATATCAATCTAAAAAGAACGTGAACACTCTGAGATATAATTTACGATGCAAACACACAAACACACTTACACACACATATATCCATACATACATACGTTCTTTTTCTATCCAATTTGAAAAATCCAACCACGAAATCCGGATTTACTTAGCAAGAAACGACGTTATGGCAAAAAAAAAAAAAGAAAGGAAACGAAACGAAAAAAAAAGTGGTATCGAGGAAAGATGAAGGGAAAGGGAATGGGAAGGGGAAGGGAATAGGAAGGGGAAGGGAAAAGCAAAGAGCCGAGTAAAGAAACGGAAGTTGGCTCTTGTCCTGGAAATACTAGCTTTCCACTATTTCCTCCAACCAACACCACCACCACCAACACTTTTGCACGAAACGAGGAACGAATCGAACTTAACTTCCATCATTTCATCGCGTTCTCTCTTCTTAGGTAACCCGGAATAGTAGGAAAAAAAAAAAAAAAAGGTTTAAACCTTCGTAAAAAGGCATAAGTGGATTCCAAGTACTTGAAGGGAAAAAAAAGAAAAAAAAAAAAAAAAAAAATAAAGAAAGGAAAAAAGAAAACAAGAAGAAAAATAAGTTAACACTGTTAAATAGGCAGTCGAGAAGAACTAAACAACTTTCTCAAAAGTTTCGTCTTTAATTCCGTACACGTGTTACTGTTACTGCTGTTACTGTTACTATTCTTTTATGTTCTAATCTATTGAGAAATCTTAACAAAAAATAATATTAACCCTTCGAGTGTGTGCTACGGACGCATATATGCGTTTGATAAAAATTACCCAGAGTTATCTATCAACGCATATACGTTTTCTTAATAAGCAAATCATTTGACGTTCCCATTTTCTCGTTTAATCAACCGATCATTCCACTTTTATGATAACTCTTAGTTAACACTTTTTCTTTTTTCTTCTTCTTTATTTCTTCTTACCACATTACCAACTAATACGAATATACTTATCCTAGACACGTCCTAGTTCTACTTTTTAATATCCAATTAGAAGAATCTCTACACTTTACGTTACCTTTTACAAATTAACAATATTTGTTCAATTTACGAATCTACGAAAAGTTCAATCAATGAACGTATGTACGAAAAATATTGTTTCAATTTATGAAAATCAATGAGCTACGAAGAAATTCGTCAATGCACGAATATAGGAAACAAATTTTGTCAATTTATGAAAATCAATTTAGCTACGAAGAAATTCGTCAATGCACGAGTTTACAAAAAGTTCAGTCAATGCTCATTGATCATTGACGAATTTCTTCGTAGTTCATTGACCATTGACGAATTTCTTTGTAGCTCATTGACCATTGACGAATTTCTTTGTAGCTCATTGACCATTGACNTCATTGACCATTGACGAATTTCTTTGTAGCTCATTGACCATTGACGAATTTCTTTGTAGCTCATTGACCATTGACCATTGATCATTGACGAATTTCTTCATAGACTCATTAAAATTATTTTTAAAATGCAAGTCCTTCGATCATTGACGAATTTCTTCGTAGACTCATTAAAATTATTTTTAAAATGCAAGTCCTCTGACCATTGACTAATTTCTTCATAGACGAGACCCTATGGACTTATCGGAAAGACCCTACGGACTTATCGGAAAGACCCTACGGACTTATCGGAAAGACCCTACGGACTTATCGNTTATCGGAAAGACCCTACGGACTTATCGGAAAGACCCTACGGACTTATCGGAAAAAAGCTCACTTTTACTTTACTTTCCGAAAAGTAGTGAGGTTTTTCCGAAAAGTCCGTAGGGTCTTTCCGATAAGTCCGTAGGGTTTTTCCGATAAGTCCGTAGGGTCTTTCCGGTTTGTAGTATGCAGTCGCACTCAAACACACACATATACAACCAGAAGCGATAACTACGAAGCATAATATAAAGAGTAGACCGAGAATATGAAAAACTGTATAGCTATATTCCATCTCATTCCCTCGCATTCTAAATCCTATGTTTGTCTCTTTTTCTCTCATTATTTAGTATGGCAGCCGTTTCATAGCTTCGTTACATAGCTTCGTTACATAGCTCCGTTTTTGTTTATTTACTTTTCAGATCACTCCCATTCTAAAGAAGTTTTCACTTCAAAATAATGTTACGAGGAAGTTAAGTTAGTAACACCCGTTATATATAGATCTATAATAGAGATTCTGGGAGGAGTAGATAGTAGAAAGTCTATGTGAT